GCCTTGACCTTTGTATGGAATTAGTGTGTGTGTGTGTATGTGTGTGTGCGTGCATGCATGCATGTGTGGGTTCATGTGTAAATGTGTGTGTTTTTAGTTGTTTTTGTATTTGTATTTGTGTGTTTGTCTGTTCTGCATATGCAGTTATTGTATCTCTCAGCCATATCTTTATGATGCATGCTTTACTAATTTGATATTTTTTATTTGGTTATATTTTGTTACATTTCAGATGTGTATATACATCTTCTTATGTTTGCAGGCATTGCAGTTGGTGGCTTTGTGGGAGGGTCACTTTTTTTCACTGTAGGTGGCTCAAGAACCTTCCTCTATACGGGAATATTCAACTTGCTCTTTGCTGTTCTCCACATTATCCTGCAGATCCTTCTGAAGAGGCTAAGACCGCAGTCAGCATCAGCTGGTAAGTAAGCTAAATTTCCCCACTTCAAGAAGTGAATTCAGGAAACTATTATGTGAATATTTTGTAAACCAGATTTCAAGTGTCATTATTTTAATGGGGTTCAGATTACAGTTTTCTTAAGGATTTTGGAATGTCATTTCTAGGGATATAGGAACTAATTTTACTTATCAGAATTATTAGGGAATGAAAGGTCAAAGTCAAGAGTGGTTACTTACTAATACCTTTTCATCAACAGGAGGTAGTCCAACTCCAGTGGGTTATATGGTCCCCAGTGAAAGCATGAAGCCTGTGGCTGCCACAGATGGAGAGGCTGAAGAAGATTAAGTTACAAGATCACTTTATCAAATTCTCATGTTTGAATATGAGTGGAAGCAAACACAAATACATGTTTCCTGCAATTAACTCAGGAGGATAATAGCCTTGGAAGGACTAAGGTTAGCAGCAACATGGGGTTGGAGATCCTGCTTGTCCCGTCCAAATTTCAAGGGCACAATGATCAAGGTCACTTTAGTGAGTACTTCCTTAAATCATAAATATGTATAAAATGCTGAATATATTTTTATGTCAGTGAGAAAAAGATTCTTAAGAAGTATATCTGGAGATTGTTTCCCTCTCTGGAAAATCAGTAACATTGATTTAGACTGTTGAGCTTTTGGTGCTTCTGCAAGATCTACTATTAGTATTAGCATGTACAAAATGTATAGAACAAATGTTTTCCATGCTTCAGAGATTCCAGTGAGACCCAAACTGAAGCACAAGCATTTTATGAATGTTATTTATTTGATTTTTATTATTTTGAGAGGATTTCTTTCATTTGATATCTGTATTTCCCTACTACTGGAGCCAGGTATCAGGGCTGATTACAGTGATTTTTAAGTATTTCTTATGATCAAGGTAGTTACAAAAGCATATAGCAGCTACAGTCTTTGCTTAAGAGAACTGCAATACACTAAACCCCTTGCATCTCATAATAACCTCCAAAAGCATCACAGCAGTAAGCCAGTTTCCTGTCACCTACTATTGGTCTGGGGTGACCTCCCACCTAAATCTAGTGTATCATCTTGGAGGGATTATTGGTCCAGGGAGATAACTAATGAAATTATGGGATTTTTTTCAACTTCCTATGGGATATTGGACCAACAATACCCTCCAGATTGATTGTGAATCCTATGTCTTTTTGGGGGTATGTCAGAGTAAGGAGGTTGATATTCTAAAGTTTACATGGACTGGTGCCATGTATGTATACTGATATTCTTATTTATTATTGATATAATATTTATGTATGTAGTAGTGCATTTTATAAGCGAATAGGTAATGCTTTCTAGGCATTACGATATTGAAATATTAATCTATGACTTTTTAGACATGTTAAAACTGCAAAGTTAGTGAAATTATATACTTGTGAATATCAGGATTGAGAGAAAGGCTTATTAGGTAAATCTTAGACCTTACTTTCCATGATTTCAGGTTTCATGCATATGGTATGAAAGACTTACTTTCTTTATTATTAATGATGTATGTCTTGTATATAGGTATGGAATAGAGAGAAAGGCCTCAGATTATATAGATCCAATGTTTTTTTACACACATACATGGACATCCATGTACTCATATGCAGACACATACAAACATATGCTTCTATGTACATTATGTACCTGTATGTATGCATGTATGTATATATGCATAAGAGCTCCTCTGCTCTGAATATTCAAAATATGCAATTTCACTGATACAGACAAACTTGTCTGTGAATCCATTGTGTGAAATTTGCACCTCTTGTGAAATTCCACTGTGTAGTACATAGTATTAGGTGCTTAACATTGCCCTGTAAAGACACCACAATTGTTGTCTCTCCAAAATGTAATAATGATGTTTGTGGTCATTTTCGGTTTTCACATTTACTTTGTCACCTCAATAAGTCTTGGGAGTGTAATGGTGGAGTCATTGGGAGTAGGAAGTGTTATAAATTGCAAGAGAAGTAGAGATGGACATTACTTGAAGTAGTAACTCGTTAACTAGTAGTAGTATTAGTAATAATAGTAATAGTAATGATATTATTGTTGATATTATTTTTATTGTTAT